AAATATATAACAGAAATGTCTTTTCTCTGTTAAACGTGTTGAAAAATTATTGAAACAGCTTTATGAGTTCACAGGAGGGCTTTAACTGTCCGCATAAATAAAGCATCACTGTTATCCAAATATTCATAGCATGAATGAACAAGCATTTACAGCTAAATGCCATACTTTTTAATGCATCGCAAAAGACCTGCAAGCTACTGTGGTTCATTTATTTGAAGCCACGTGAAGATGTTGACGTCAGTGCAAAGACAGATCAGGTCAGATTGTATTTCCACAAACCTGCAACTTATATGTTTGAATGAAGTTTAGTTCATTTACATCAGGCTTACAAAATGTGCTTCTAACAGTGTAAAGTTGCTCCATACACACCAAGTAAAAGACTGATGTTGGATTTATGTCGTATGCTTATACAAGTGGTTTCCATGATGGGAAAAAGGCCAGCATATCTATAACTTAAGCATCTTTGCTGAGGCGGCATTTCATGGAAACCACTTTTGCCATGATCACATTCAGCGTTTGCCACGGTGCTGGGGGTTTAATATTGATTTTCAGACACATCTCATTACACACGTGGTGTCAACATCTAATAGCAAAAGAAAAGGGTCCTCCATCAGCGCAGGAGCCTGTGATTGTTACTTCAGCTCCCGAGGAGGGCTTAAATTAATATGAAACAACCATAAATGAGCTTCACGTGTGTATGTGCATCTTCAGTGTCTGATGCACTATGAGAGGTGCAATATTCCTGGTCAAATATCATTTATTCATTCAATTTCCTTCAGCTTAGTCCCTTATTTATCATGGGTCGCCACTGCGGAATGAACCGCCAACTATTCCGGCATATGTTTTACACAGTGGATGCCCTTAAAACAGTACTAGGAAACATTAACACATGCACTCATACACTACGGCCAATTTTTGTTTCAGCAAATTCACCTATGGGGAAAATTGGAGCACCCGGAGAAAACCCACGCGAACATGGGGGAAACATGCAAACTAGACAACAGACAGGCACTCCAGTGACCTTTAGTCAAAATTGTTTATAAACAAATGTATTTCTGTTTTTTGAAATACAAAATGACTGCACAATTCTTAGAGCTACAGTGTGTTCGCTGCAGGCCTGTGTGCTTCTGATAAAATCACAGCAGATTCGTTTGAGCTGGTGAACACAATGGCAAAAGACGTGTGGTTTAGAGCTGTAATGTGGTCATCAGTCCCTGCAACATCTAAAAAAGAAGTGTGCTCGTGAGGCCCTTGTGAGTCTTTATAACACAAGTGCGCACACACACACCATGCATACTCGGCTAGAGCTGAAAACCAAAATAGAAAGGAAAAGAAAGATGACGCGATCATGACGTGATGATACTTCTACTATGAATGTGCTTTTGTTAATTTTCTCAACACATAATGTCAAAGCTGGCACTGCTCTGTTGATTACGAAAAAATGTTTAAATGTCACAAAACAGATCATGCAATTGTTTCATAGTGTCAAATAACCCCATTGATTACTTTGAACTGAAAAGCACAATAGTCAGAGAGCGTAAACATTTTTTGCACTATTTTCTGTCAAATTAACTGTAGCATATAAATAAATTATAATGAAAACCCTAATCAAAATAAAAAAAGATTTATTAGACATACCGTTAGAGGACGATAGCAAAGCTAAATGCTGACCTCATGGGGTGAATGGGGGTATTAAAGGGTGAATGATACTACAATGTAAAACCCAAAAACCTAAGGTAACGCTGATTGCAACAAACCATTTAAGTTTAAAAATTAATTCTAATGAGTACTGTGAACTTATACCATTTGGGTAAATGAAGCATTTTGAGCACAGTAAAAGCCAATAAATGAAGAAAACTCAAACCAGCTGAGTACTGTAAAAACCAACAAGTTAAGGCAACTTAAACTATTTGAGGAAACTGATTGCTACAAACCATTTGAGTTACAAAAACTAATCTATATAAGTATTGAGTACTTATTTCATTTAAGTTGAAGTTATGAGATATTAAATGAACTCATTACCTTCAACACTGAGTTCAAAAGTCTTCAAATGACTTTCAGTCAATTTTGAGTTAACTACACTCACTTCATTTGATAAAGTTGACTGTTGGGTTTTACAGTGACTAATACACTGTAAAAAGTGATTTGTTACTTAAAGCGAGTAAACCAATTGCCTTAAAAGCAACAAGTTGACTTTACAAAAATAATGTAAGTAGTAAATTCATTGTAACTTGGAACTGTTAAGTTGACTAAATTCTTATAACTATGCAAATTGTATTACATTTTTTTAATAAAAGTAAACAAATCACTTTTTTCCAATACACCTTTATTGTATTTGCTTTTTAACCAGCTTTTCTGCATCTAGCAAAATGACATACCGTAAAATAAATCTGATCTTCCAGACTCGTGTGACTTCTAAATTCAATACAGGCTATAACTGGAGATTTTATAGACCTAATGATGCACCAAATATGTATTATTGTAATAATTACACAAGTTATTTGAAAACAGATGTGCTAAAATAGTCTGACACCATAAAAAGGGATTAGTTGGCTTTAAAAAAGTAAGTGCAATTTGCATAATTATAAAGCTAAGTCAACTGAACAGTTCCAAGTTACAATGGGTTTACTTGCATTATTTTAGTCAACTTGTTTTTACAGTGTATAGATGAAAATAAAACAATATCAATCTACACTTGTTTCCCAGAGATGGGTTGCAGCTGGAAGGAAAACAAATGCTGGATAAGTTGGCGGTTCATTCCGCTGTGGCGACCCCAGATTAATAAAGGGACTAAGCCGAAAAGAAAATGAATGAATGAATGAATGAAAATACACTTGAAATTCTTTATTTTGGCAGTTATACTGAAGGAAATCAGAACGTAAAATGGTGCTACAGACTGAGATTTACAGGTTTTCCCAGTTACTTTGTTACATTTCTCAGATCAGAATTGAAATTAACAAAACAGTAAGCGCATTTCTCAAAACAGTGCATACAATTAGCTGGATTATTCACAAAAGCTAGTCTCTTGCTCAAAATCCTTGTCATTCAGACGGCACTGACTTGTTCATTGATACAGAAATGTGGTTTTGAGAGATGAACTAACTTCTTTCAAAACTACATTTCTGTATCAATGAACAAGTCAGTGCCCTCTGAACGACAAGTCCTTGTGTCATTGTGTATGAATAAGACTCAATTTAGTCATGTTGTCAATATATCAGTGTAATCTGGAGGGGCGTTCGCATGTGAATTATGGCAAATTTTGCTGTTTGTACTGTAATTTGTTGGCAGATCTGGTCATTGTGATACAGAAATGAAATGATAGTAGTGCATAGCACAAAGAAAAAACAAAACAACAGTAGAAATGTGAACATAGGACAATCTCCTTTCAGATGCACCTTTATTAGAAAAAGTCAAGACTCACCTTGGAGAAATTTACCAAATCCAGACAGATTTAGGAAAAAAGTTTAATGGAAATGTATAGAAAAATGCATTATGGCAAAATATTATGACAACCTATTCAGCCATTTTGCATGTAAAAACTTATGCCACGAACAAATGATTAAATGGAGGTAAGACTATTCAGCAGAGACCAAAATAATAAATTTTGATCAACATGACATAAGCAACTGATAAAGTAGGAAATGTCAAAGAATTGCACGTAATCATTTGCATAGATGTACAAAAGCATTTGCAACTTGTTCAAAAGAATGATAAACTGCTATTCTGATGTGCACAACTAACACCATAATGTGAAGATTGAACAGGTAGTTTTGAGAATTTTAATTCTGATCTGAGAAATGTACCAAAGCGACTAAGAAAAACTGTAACTGACTGATACAATAAGATTTACTAGTGTCAAGGATTTCAATGTTGCCAAGGACTTCACCCATATTGCACCAGCTATCAACAAAATTAGGGCTGTTGTTATTAATTATTTGAGTATTTGAGTTTTCTATTAATTCAATCAAGTAATCAGATTAACGGTATCTTTATTAAAGAGCAATACTAGACACACAAGAGAAAAAAAGACAGGCAGATTTGGTTCCTTTTTTCAATTTTGCTTTCTATTCTTATGTTGCACAGGTATATACTTTTATACATTTACATATTTTTGGCTATAATATATTTTTGTCCTGGTGCTGAGGAGCCTATAGTAATAGTAACATGTTAATATAAGCACAGGGGGGAAATGTGGAGTATGTGGCTGTATCTAAAATCAAACACTATACCCTTAAATAATGGGAAATGTGGGAAGTTTTCTTGACTGTGAATTTTCTTCTTTAACTCTGTTAATTGAGCGGTGCGGTAGCGCAGTGGGTGGCACGTTCGCCTCAAAGCAAGAAGGTCACTGGTTCGAGCCTTGGCTGGGTCAGTTCGCATTTCTGTGTAGAGTTTGCATGTTCTCCGCGTGTTCACGTGGGTTACCTCCGGGTGCTCCAGTTTCCCCCACAGTCCAAAGACGTGGTATAGATAAATTGGGTAGGCTAAATTTTCCGTAGTGTATGTGTGTGAATGAGTGCATGGGTGTGTGTCAGTGTTGGGTTGCAGCTGGAAGGGCATCCGCTGTGTAAAACATATGCTGGATAAGTTGGTGGTTCATTCCGCTGTGGTGACCCCTGATTAATAAATGGACTAAGCCGAAAAGAAAATGAATGAATGAACTCTGTTAATTGTATAATTGTTTTGTCTTCTGTTACCTTTGCTGTTTGTTTGCTTGTTTGTGTGTTTTTATTAATTTATTGGGCCTTGAGTCTAAATAATAAAGTTGATTTACTGATAATTACTCAACGAATCATTTTAGCCCTCGACAAAATGAAAATTATCTGTTTTTGCATATTTGAGTTATTTTTTATTTATGTATTTTAAGTACATACTAAGCAAAACTATCCACTGTCATTGGCACTTTTTTGACATTGCCATCTCAATCTATCAGACTACATAATATATGTGGTCTGCACCACAAAATTTCCAGAAAAAATAAATAAAAGCCATTCTCCTACCTGAGGCCGAAGCAAAGCATGCTGGGATATGAGGAGACCAGATGGTGCTGTAGATGACACCCTCATGACCCTGAAGGGAGTTCACTAACTGACACTGCACTGGATCCCACTTTGTAGAAAAACAGCACAGATATAAAATACATTCCAGTACAGTAATACATTTCTTAGATGTTCATTTCAGTCTTCTAGTTTAAAGGATATCTATAGAGTATATTGGTGTGCTCCGAAACAGTGACAAAATTTGCGCTTAGGAGATATAAGACCGAGTTAAATGTAAAGCTTGTAGTTTGTCACTTCTGTCTAAATGGATCAACGTTTTTTTCCACGTCACCTCATACTTCAGTTTCTCATCTATCTTGACCAATCAAATGCTCTATATTGTTTGACACAACTAGTCCCCTTTAAGATGCTTCTCATTTGCTTTTCATTCGATGCGCTTGAACTCAATCACCACTGGCAGAGCTGTGATAAAAACAACACACTATTGGATACTTTTTAATAAGAGGAGGGGCTACTCTATGTCCCACCCTCTCTTCATTTTTCAGTTAGGATTAGGTCAATTATCAAATAAAAGTGCACATTTGAATATACATATCTCATATCAATAGAATATACATATCGCAGCTGGTGACGGATTACATTTAATTTATGCATTGGTTGTTTATTAAAGTTTGACCAATTAGATGGGAGCCTAACTATCTTTATCTCCATCTCCACATTAGTTGCTGTTCTGCTATTGGCTGGAGCAGACTAAAAGTAAAACCAGAGCTGAAAATAAATTCTTATTGTGAGAGTTAAGACAAGAGAGAAATGACAACAGCCAATCAGAGTCAACAGACCAGCTGATTTTTTTACTCATTCATATTGTTTAAAAGACTAAATGTTTGCACCTTTCTACAGTTTTTTTATTAGCAATTTAGAATTAATTATATGTAAAAATATGTTTTACCTATTTATTTTAATATCATTAAATAAATAAAGCATTTAAAAACATTGGCAACAAAAACAGTACTTTTTTAGGGGAAATATTATATCATAAGAAACATTATTATGGGAATATTCAACAACAATATTGCATATTTTTCTAGTATATAAAGACTGTTTTCCTTTTAAATCTTCACAATTACATTTAATTTAGCATTTAAACAATGCATGATTATATGGTTAGTTAAATGCAATTATTCGCAATTAACATTTATAATATGGCAAAATTGTCTGCGTATATTCATCCTCTAAACTAAAGTCTGCTTACCACTTTGGCTGTGTGGTCCCAAGATCCTGATACTAGCAGGTTTTCAGCACGTGTTTGACTCCAGTCTACTGAATACACCTATAAAAAGAGGGGATTTGCATCAGTCCAGAGGTTCTAAAGTGCTAAAACTTTACCTTTTCACTAATATATTTCCATTTAAATATTTATTATTATTAACTCTATACTACATGTCCATACTGCTGTTTCCAGAAAAGTTCTCCCTCCACACTACACAGCTGAAAATGCAGTTCAGAAGCTAAAAGTAGCTATAGAATTAAAGCACAAAATTTTAGCCATAATTCAATTATTTAAATAACACTACAATCACATTTGCTATAAGAAAAAATATATTAAACTGTGTTATAAAATACAAAAATTTCAATACCAGATACAATATTAAAAATAAGGACAGATTCAATAAGTGATTTATATATGACAATCAAAATGTCCTTCTCAATATAAAAACTTCTCAGTTTTCTTAACAGACTCAACAATTGCTGAGCCTTTTCAAAAACATTCTCGGCGAGTTTATCAAAAGAGAATTGAAAGTCAATCCCCACACCTAAATATTTAAAAGAACTCACCTGTTTAGCTTCCTCCCCGTTAATTTTGTTTGTAACACATTTCTTTCATCTTACTAATATTAAGCTGCAAGGAACTCTCTGTTGTCCAACTTGTTACATAATTGACAAAATGTAAATAATCATCCAATAACTGAGTATACTTTACACATCCCACCAAAGCCATATCATCAGCAAACTTGCTAAGTGTCAGTTTTTCATTGTCACAAGATATATCGTTTATATAAATAAAAAACTAAATTGGTGATAAAACACATGCTTGAGAAAGGCCAGTATTTAACACCATTCTCTGACTTTATACTCTTAGCCAATACATGCTGTGGTCTGGATAGTTCCTGATCCTTTAAAGTCTTTCCAAACATGTCTGAATTTTTTCTGTTGAACACAAAGGAAGATATACTGAAGAATGAAAGGAAAAATAGCTATTGTCTTCCATAATATTTCTTTATTCCTATATAAATGATATTGGCTGCTTTGACCCAACATTCTTCACAGTATCCTGCTTTGTGTAAGCAGATGAAAAAGATTCATAAAGAAACATTTAGAAATACTTGAATGCGAGCAATTTTTATTTTTGTGTGAACTACCCCTTAAATAATTACAGTACAAAACTGTATGTTTATTTTTTATAATATAAATGCAAAATATAAATTACATAATAATATGAAATGCATAATAATAATAATAATAATAATAATAATAATATAAAAGTTTAGTAATAAATTGAGTTCAAATCTTCCAGTACTCAGAAGGCAAAAATCGAAAATACAATTAATAATAAAAAAAAATTATTATGCCATTCATTATAAACAACATATCCCCAGAATGTACACTAGCCTGAAATCTGGGTCAAAACCACAAGATGTACCCATTGCAAAAAAAAAATTAATACGAAAACACACCAGTTCAATTCAATTCAAGTTTATTTGTATAGCGCTTTTCACAATAATTATTGTTTCAAAGCAGCTTTATAAAAGGTGCACATTACTGCATTACAATTAAATGCGATCAATTACAAACCAGCGAAAACAGAGCCCTAATATGCCCATTTAGAAGTGGAGATTGTGAACTGACCTCTTGTGTGTGGCCTTTCAGCACCTGCAGAAGACCTTGTGGATTGGCTGTATCCCAGATCTGCAGAGATCCGTCACCTCCTCCGGTCACTAGCACATGCTCATTGTTCTCACTCCATGTCACATCGAAAAGACCATCGTTCCAGTCAAAACTGTCCATGAGGCAAAAAAAAGAGATTCAAGCTCTACTTAATGATGCATCACATTACTGATTAGACCTTTCCTCCTTGACTACTGTACATTAGGATTTGCCTAGAAAGTTGGACTGTAACATTTTTGTGACAATTAATCCCATCCACTATATTGGACAGACCACAGAACAAGTATTAAAGGTCTGACTTGTATGTGTCATTTTAAATGTTTCCAATCTGTATGTGCAAACTAAAATGTTTAACTCCAGAAAATTTGCAGATTGATTTTTTATATTGTATAGACACAATGTTACAATTTTCTTTATTTGCCTTTAGAGCAAATATATTATTGGTTATTTTCCAGCTATGATTATTATTAGAGACATTTTATGTGGATGGTTAAAAGACTACATATCTTAATTTTTTGAAGTCTGTCTCAGTCAACTAAATGCTTTTATTTATACATAGAAAGTGTATTAAATTCTTTCAATTAAGTATTAGGAAAATTAAGCACCAAAATATGGGTGACATATTTGTGCATAAATTAAGTTAAACACTAATTCTGTTAATCCGGGGTCGCCACAGCGAAATGAACCGCCAACTTATACAGCACGTTTTTTTAGTCAGCGGATGCCCTTCCAGCCACAACCCATCACCGGGAAACCTGTTTTTGATTTTTACTTAATAAACGTTTAGTACAACCAAAAATGTGATATAACCCATCATTTACTCACCTACAAGAGACACATGATGTGTATGACTTCTTTTGATAAATCCATCCAGAGTTTAATTTAATTATATAAAATTGTCTTCGATAGTAAACACTGGAAAATTTCTTCAGTACAAGTTTAAAACAGCACATGTATCTATAGTAAAACATGCCTCATACGCTCCTGGGGGTGAATGAAGCCCTTCTGTAGCGATTTGATGCAGTTTTGTTATAAAAATATCAATTTTTTAAAAATTACAATAAATTATGTAATTTCCTCTGACTGTCTTAAGTGTGTTCACATAACTGAATACAAAACAGTGTTCATGGAATTATATAAATCTTAAATGAAATTGTAATTTTATAACGTATAGAAATTACAACTACAACAGCATTTTGATGTATTCTGGTGGTTTTCCTTTGCTGTTATAACAGAAAAGTTTTAAAATATGCACTTAGGATGCCGCGATCATGAGCTATTTTTTTATTTAAGGTGAACTAACCCTTTTAGAAATCTATAAGGATAATTAACCATACTGAATTTGGTCATATTTCAAGCAAATTCTAATTTTCGGCGGACAAATAGGTGAAATAGGTTTGGATAAAAGCAAAGTGTAACAACACTATTATCATTAAAAATAAACTTTTAATTAATATAGGTCATCAAATACTTGTTGTTTAAATTTGCTACACAAGACTTTTCTTGTAGTAGATTAACTAATGTTCACCGAATTAGTGCTAAAACATGCTGAATGTTTTCTAGTAATTGTTTTTTGCTTAGAAATAAAAATAAATCAAAATCATAATTTTTTTTATGTATACAATTGTATTACATATTGTTGTCATACTTATAATTGCTTTTTCATCTTTTATTATTAAATTACCTCTTCACAAGTGAAACATCTGTCTCCCGTTGCTCCAGCACAAAAAGTGTCCCACATCCTAAAAGCCAAGAAACAGGTTTATGTCAAAATCACAGTTTTGTATTAATCATCATACACTACCTGACAAAAGCCTTGTCGTCGATCCCAGTTGTAAGAGCAACAAATATTAACTTGACTTCTAGTTGATCATTTGGAAAAGTGGCAGAAGGATTTTCCCGATAAATCATTTGCTGAACTGCATCCCAATCATCACTAATACTGCAGAAGACCTATTGGAACCCGCATGGACCGAAGATTCTTACATAAATCTGTAAAGTTTGTTGATGGAAAAATCATGGTTTGGGGTTACATTCACTATGGGTGTGTGCGAGAGATCTGCAGAGTGGATGAACACATCAACAGCCTGAGATATCAAGGATATTGTGCTACCCATTACATTACAAACCACAGGTGAGGGCAAATTCTTCAGCAGGATAGCGCTCCTTCTCATACTTCAGCCTCCACATCAAAGCTTCTGAAAGGAAAGAAGGTCAAGGTGCTCCAGGATTGGCCAGCCCAGTCACCAGACATGAACCTTATTGAGCATGTCTAGGGGTGAGATGAAGGAGGAGGCATTAAAGATTAATCCAAAGAGTCTTAATGAACTCTGAAAGTCCTGCAAGAATGCTTTCTTTGCCATTCCACATGACTTTATTAATAAGTTATTTGAGTCATTGCAGAGATGTATGGATGCAGTCGTCCAAGCTCATTGGAGTCATACACAATATTAAATCTTTTTCCACTGCACCATGACTTTTTATTCCACAATATTTCTGTTCAGTGACAAGCAAAGTCAGACCGTACTGTCCTTATAAATAATAAAAAATCAAGGCATGATCATAGTTTATCTTAGTAAAATAAGCGTAATCTAGAGCCATTTTCATTTAAGCCACTACTGATACCAAATGATCAACTAGAAGTCAAGTTATTTATTGTTCCTAAAACTTGGATAGGCGACACGACTTTTGTCAGGTAGTGTACATGCCACTAACGTTACCTGCTATTCCATAATACTGAGAGGAAGCACATGCCATCGTAGAAGGCAAAAAAGGTGAAATCTCCACCGCATATCCATGACGTCCCGGAGACTTAAACGACTTCATACCGTTTCTCTAATAACTCAACGAGTGCAGAAATAGTCTAAAGTCCACGAACAACCCATTTACAATAAATAACGTTTTTTGTTTGTGGAAAACCACCAATATACGTACTGTCACCTAGGAAAACGTTTAAAACGATTAAACCTATAATTGTACTGTACAAATGAAACAATTGCCCTGCTTAACTTCCATATTAGCGCAAAACATGTGTATGACAAGTGTTTACTTCCGTGTTTTGGTGAGCTGACGAACGCAATGCTGTGGTTGGTCACATGTGGATGACGTCCTTGACGCTGATTTGCAGAAGCAGTTTTGATCTATTGTAGATATACGTGCATGTTTATGCGTTTTTCCTTTAATTCTGAATTGTTTGTAATTAATAGAAATGAGTGCATCAGACGTTTTCAATCTGGCGATTATAAGTCTTAAAATAAACACGTGAGTAAATGAAGAACATGAATGAAGCTTTATTTGAATGACACCAGAGGGCAGCATTTCTCCGGTAAAGACTTGCCACATTAGAAAAAATACTACAGTAATTTATAGTAAATACCATTGGTAAATACTACAGTGTTTTTGAACCATAGCCTACTATAGTAAAGTGTATTGTGCTGTATATAATAGTCTGTAGAATTGACAACTATTTTTGCAGATAACTATTGCAGCACAGACTACACTGTGTAGTATTAACTATAGTTAACTGATAAATTGTAATAAACACTTTTGTTTTTACTACAGTAAACTGTGATGTATTGTTGTATGATATTGGAGAAAACTACACTGTTGGATCATTTGTTTATATTACTAAAGTTGTTGTGTTATTGTACTAACTGTACAATTACCACAAGCACTTTACTATGGTATGGTTCAAAAACACTATAGTATTTACTCTACTATTTTTCACATGGGTTGTTTCCTTTTGAGACTTTTTAGTCTAAATATCTTACAATTGAAACATTTAGATTAATATTGTCATGATGCAGGACTAAGGTCACAAAATGGGGGAAATTCCCCCTTAAATCATTCATCCGGCTTATTCCCTTTATTAATCTGAAGTTGCCACAGCGGAATGAACCACCCACTTATCCCGCATATGTTTTGTACAGCAGATGCCCTTCCAACTGCAACCCAGCACTGGGAAACATCCATACACACTCATTCTCATACGGACAATTTAGTTTATTTAATTCACCCATAGCGTATGTCTTTGGACTGTGGGGGAAACCAGAACACTTGGAGGAAACCCACGCCAACATGGGGAGAACATGCAAACTCCACATTGAAATGCCACCTTCCCAAAAATTCTCCTACAGATTATATACAGGTTATTTTTATGGTCCGCAGTGTTTGTACAGTAAATTAAGATCAAACATTATACAAAATTAAGAGGCCACATTCCCTGGATTTAAGATATATAGTTGTGTTTGAGTAAAACATCATTTTGGTTTTATTCTGTTTACTGATAATGTTTATTCAAAATGTTTAGACTTTTTAAATGATCAAAAAAGGTGCCATGCTTTCAGATGTTTAATTTTTAGACAACACAACACCAATGTTTCAACCTCCTAAGAGTAAAGAAGTCAACATTTGGTGGAATTACCATGATTATGAATCCCACCAAATGAAAACATCTCTTGTTTTGATCAATTGCCATTTTCTGAATAAATAAACAAACAAATAATTAAATAAAATAACTAACCAACTAAATAAAATAATAAATACATACATAAATAGTTAAATAAAAATAACAAACTAACCAACTAAATAATAAAATAAAATAACCAACATTATTCAGTAATTTTCTTTTCAGCTTAGTCCCTTTATTAATCTGGGGTCACCACAGCGGAATGAACTGCAAACTTATCCAGCATGTTTTACACAGCGGATGCACTTCCAGCAGCAACCCAACACTGGGAAACACCCATACTCTTGCATTCGCACACATACACTACGGCCAATTTAGCTTATTCAATTCACTTGTATCGCATGTCTTTGGACTTGTGGGGAAACCGGAGCACTCAGAGGAAGCCTGCACGAACACGGGGAGAACATGCAAACTTCACACAGAAACGCCAGCTGACCCAGCTAGGCCTCAAATCAGTGACCTTCTTGCTGTGAGGCGATCGTGCTACCCACTGTGCCACCGTAAAATAATAAATAAATAAATAAATAAATAACCAACCAACAAATTAAATAAAAATTAGCAAATAAATCATAAAATAATAAAATAACAAATTAACCAACCAACAAAATCAATAAAAATAATAAATACATAAACAAATAAATAACTAACTAACCAACTAGATAAAAATAATAAATGAATACAAATAAATAAATAAAAATAAACAAATAAATAAATCAAATAACTAGCCAAGTAAATAAATAATTACAAATAAATATATAAAAATTAGCAACCAACTAAATAAAAAATAATAAGTACATACATAAATAAATAAACTAACTAACAAAGTAAATAAAAAATTTAAATAAATAAATAACTAGGGCGATGCAGTGGCGCAGTGGGTAGCACATTCGCCTCACAGCAAGAAGGTCACTGGTTTGAGCCTCGGTTGGGTCAGTTGGCGTTTCTGTTTTGAGTTTGCATGTTCTCCCTGTGTTCTTGTGGGTCTCCTCTGGTTGCTCTGGTTTCCCCCACAAGTCCAAAGACATGCGCTACAAGTGAATTGGGTAGGCTAAATTGTCAGTAGTGTATGAGTGTGAATGAGAGTTTGTTGATGTTTCCTAGTGGTGGGGCATGCGCTGCGTAAAACATATACTGGGTAAGTTGGTGTTACATTTCGCTGTGGCGACCACGGATTAGTAAAGGGAATAAGTCGAAAAAAAAATGAATGAATGAATGAATGAATAAAATAACTAACAAACCAAGTAAATAAAAATAATAACTAACTAACTAACTAACTAAATAAATAAATAAATAAATAAATAAATAAATAAATAAATAATTAAAAATAAATAAATAAATAAAAATAAATAATTAAATAAATAACCAACACACCAACCAACAAACTAAATAAAAAATAATAATTACATAAATAATTAAATAAATAAATCAACTAAATAAAAATAATAAATAAAATAAAATAACTAACCTAAATAAAAAATTTAATAAAAATAAACAAATAAACTAACATCTTATACTTAAATACCTTTTAAATCCAGCATTTCTAGAAAAGTTAAGAGTTTTTAAGTGCTCCCTTAATTAATATATTTATAGTCTCTTCTCTTATTTTTTTATTTAAAAAAAAGAGAATATTAATAGCATGATGATATATAAATATTTATTGACTAAATGTGCTGATGAAACATTTTAATATGAAGACTGCGGACAGTTCATATAAACACGTATCATTAAAACATAGAGAGTTAAAGAGATGTTATTCACATTGTTCTCAAGACACACGCTTTAGTTTTAACTAAATTATCCATATAGCAGCTAAGGTTAAAAAGTCCAAATGAACCCTACAGTCAGAAGTATGATCAATCAGCACTGTGATCACATCAACATGCTGCTTTTATCTGTCAGTCTGGTCTATAAAGGCCATCTTGTAGTTCAGCTGAACTGTTTTCATGTGTGGAAACGAATGAAGTTGACAGGCTTATACTGACCACGTTCACACCGCCGACTCTCTGCCTGTGTGTGATGTTTTGGGGAGATCATGTGCGCCCTTGATATATGACGGCCACTTCAAAGGCAGGGGCCCGGCGTGAGAACCAGCCGCTCTAAAGCAGATAACCGGCGGATTTACGGCCCCGCACTTTTCCCATGATTGCCGGTGGGTAGCAGGCGCTGGTTGTCCTAATCCCCATTCACTTGGAAATGCTGATACTTTTTCTCTTAAGGAATTTAATGGTGTGACAGTGATTTACTAATGTAAATCTGCCTAACAGACCCTGGCATAAAGGGAGTGGATTAGGCCGGCATAAAGAGCCATCTTGGGGAGGAGTGACTGGTGTTGTTGTGCTTTCATGTGGTGCACACTACTGCGGGCCGGACGGTGGTTTGTTCACGCCCGCCAGAAAAACTACAAGAGTTTTGACTTGAGCCGCCCCTGAAGGACCAAAGGGGACCTTGAGGGGCCTTGCCATTGAATAACAGTAAACATCAACTGCTTAAACGTTAAGAAGAAATCGTTGAAGCGTGACTTTAACAATGAATGTGAACTCATGTGTTGCTGATCGTGTAAAAATGCCGACTTTATATTCATTAAATTTGTTTGTAGCTTTCTTCAAAGCTGGTGGACAGATTTATAACTGTTGAAGTGGCGGTTATAATTGCAGCTATTTTATATTGAATTATTAGAGAAACACATTAAAGAGCATGAATATTTGTTTCCTACGATTTTCTCTCTAAAGCTGCTGTCGGGTGAAAATGATATCGGAGCATAAATCTCAAATGCAGCATTTTAGTAGGCAATTCATAGTTTTGACAATTACAACGCAAACCTGGATTAACATCTATGTTCAATAAATGACATCAGTATATAATAAGCGGTTATGATTATTACTGAACCGATATCGAAATGTCCGCTTCTGCATCGCGGTGCACCGAAGAAACAATTAATTTTGACACCCCTAATGCACAGCCTACAGCAGCCACAACATGTGAGGAGGTAAATAGCTAGATCAGAATCAGTGCTCGGTATCGGCTGAACAACATGACGAAGAATAGGTACTCGGTATCTGCTGAACAACATGACAAAGTATCGTTACTCAGTATCTGCTGAACAAATCTTGATCGAAGCATCCCTAGTAGATATGTCATCCTTGTCTTTGTGTAGACCAAAGGACTGGAACAACCCATACCCTTAAACCCAAACACAACTGTAAATTATTCACAATCAGAGGGGAATAATAGATGGATAACACTCATGGAGAAGTGCATAAACCTAACTGTAAGCCTGAACTTAACATACACGGTAAATGTATAACCTTATTCTGGTGAAACATCAAATTCAATTGTCAAAACATCTGTCGATCGGCTGAAGATTGGTATGGGTTGATAATCACATTTAATGACTCAATCGGTACTCACCAATCTGGCCAATCTCTTGAACCGATCGCAGGTGTTTTGGGGTTTACAAGCAGAGGAGGACGCACTCGCACTACTGCATATTATGCACAGCCTACAGCCGCCACAACACGTGAGAAGCTAAATGGTGAGATCAGAATCGGTACTCAGTATCGGCTGAACAAATCCTGATCAAAGCATCCCTAGT